TCTCCATTAGGAGAAGAACGAACTCGAATAAGATTTAGTTCGTTAGATGTTATCTATTACCCATATATAGGATATATACTTCTAAAACAATATGATTGTCAATGAGAAGATCTTCTAATATTTTCATGACTCCATAAGATGTAGTTGGAAAGAAAGACAAATCTTAAGCATGTTAAGATTTGGGGTTGTGAGCTTATAAGCAATATTTGTTTGATAATAATCTTGTGGGATATCCTTAAATTAACTTTTGGATATCGCTTCTATAAACCAACTAACAAATGTTGTTTTGTTGGGTAGTTCATTGTAATCATACAATGTGATTTGCCTAAAAGCAAATAAACGAGAGATAGAACTCAAAGAATGGGTTCTTTGAGAGACAAGAAAGTAATCAACAAATATAAACAACCTAGTTCCTATACCAAAAGCTCCAAGGTAGTCGATAAGGATTTATAAACCGTCTCAGTTGAATGGTTTGAACTTTATGACTATGTCATAGAGTTGAACCTCTTAATTCGAAAGAAATAAGAATGAAAATCCTTATGACTACATTGAGTGTATATATGATATATACTCAAGGAAATGGTAAAGTACCATTTAACCCGAAATAATGAAACCTTCATAAGCTAATTGGTAGCTTAAGGTGACTACAATCAAAGAGAATGGTTGACTTTGAAGGAACCATTTTTGACGTAGTCTTAGTTTCAATTAATTCGAAGATTGCTAGCTACAACTAAATGGTGATTCAATGTTTGGACATAATATAGGTTTCCGAAACCATTATTAAGATAGTCTTGATAATATATGTCTAAAACTATGAATCACAAGACATGTAAGTTGTAGAGATCCATCCATCATGGATCTTAGCAAGCTAGTGGGAGCTATAAGCGTCTTATGAGAGAAAGGTCAAATCGTTTGATTTCTCATAAAGATGTAAATGAATCTTTTGTTTACTAGGTTTACAAAAGATTAGTGGGAGTTAATCATATTCCTAAATTTGTATATATATATATATATATATATATATATATATATATATATATATATATAAATATATATGTGATATATATGAATGTATATATGATATATTAATTTTGGAAATGAAAAGAATATTTCTTCGTTAAAGTTATGACTCTAAACATTCTATGACGATAGAATGTATATGGGAGACATAGTCTATATACATGGGATAGAAATCTATAATGATAGATTTTTTAGGATATAATTGGATTATATCAATTCCTAATAATAGACAAAAGATGTTAGGAAGTTTCTCATATGATGATAAACTTCAATTAGAAGGATGACTCTAGTGTGACTAGCAAGTTGCCCTTCTCAAAGGGAACGTGCCCTTTTAACTCCCAAAGAAATAATGCGTAAATAGAATCCTTTATGCATACGCACAAAGGTGATTTATGTATTTCATATTGTATGAAAAACATTGCTATGAGTTGTACCTAGAACGGTACAAGATGATATCAGTGCAAGCCCAGGATCAGAACCATGACAACTGTCAAGTGAGTCCTTAAGTATTTAAGAAATACTAAAGGATAAATTCCTCAAAGATCGAGGAAGAATTAGAGTAACGTAATGGAAGCGTAAATGTATTAGATTATGAATCTAATCCATCATTGGATGTTTCTTCATTATGAATGAAGAGATAAACAGAGATCTCTTTATTATGACTAAAGAGATATTTGGATGGAAACATTAAAGTAATGACTTTAGTGTGTTCCATTATGAATGCAAAATATATTGCCATATAGAAGTTTGCAACAATGCTGTTTGGATGGGAAAGTTCATTTAGTGAACTCTCTATTTGGTTCCAACCAGAAAGTGTATCTAGTGTACTGACACTATGACACTAATGGGGCGATAGCTCAAGCCTGGGAATCAAGGTCTCATCAAGATCCGAACTCATATGAGAGACTGAACCACATGATTGAGAATCATGTATAATGGTGACGTCGTTATTCTCAAGGTTGCTTCTATGGATAACATATAGATATCCATTGCCTAGGCCTACTATTCAGCCATTTATGAAATGACTACAGAAGAGGTATCATCATTGATGACTAAGCTGATTGGCTCTAGTGCAAGTGGGAGATTGTTGGAAATGTGCCCTAAAGCCAATCATATGATGAAACTTTACGGACATTTTACATGTTAAACTAATCTAGTTTAACTATAAAGGGCAAAGATTATTGTTTGAGCCGTCTCATATAAATGTTATATGCTTAAACGATAAAGTCCAAGGAATATGTGATTGGAAGAATGTAATCTAATGAAGTTAGATTCATGAGACCATTCTTTCGTAGACACATCCTAAATGTTCCTGATCATAGGATTGCTAATTAGGCATTGACAGTCCGTCAAGATCGGTACGTGCTATGTAGTCTCTCAGGGAGAGTGACTAGTCTCGAGTCATTGGTGTGTGTGACATCAAGACAAGTACGTAGGTGCTCAGTAGAGAATGAGTTCACTGAACGCGATCAACGAAGAGTTCTCATATTCATGTCACATGAGAACTCATGTTTGGGATAATGCAAATTAGTCCTTTGACCTGAGGCATCACAGTTGTCTTGTGGTTAAGTCCTTGATCTTTGATTATGTCAAAGTCACCCCATCGGGGTGTCCACGGCATCGTTGGGGTTAAGCCACTTAGTCATGGAGGCAAGTGAATGCGCAACAAGGGATCTCTAACCTTCAAACTGTTTGAGGGAGAATACTCTATGATATGATTAGAATCTCTGGCCAGAGTATGAATGAGATTTGGGAATGCGTTCCGAATCACATTCAAGGAAATCATATAAGCACATGAATCACATTGGATAGTAGACATGAATAAATAAACTATCAAACCAAACAATGTGGTCAGGAGTATTAGATTAGAGAAAGACCGTATTGCATTTGTAATCCCAGACTGAATAGGTTTTCTCTACCTCTTCTGATTAGCTTGGGTAACCATGATATGCTGCAAGGTGTCACTCATGGTTTGTGGAAGCCCTAAACGTGTGTAATCACTAAAGGGAGAATTGAAAGTAAGTTTCAATTCACAATCGATGTAAAATGGTTTTAATCGCCCACTGCCTCGCTAAAAGGAACCTAATGGATTCCACACCGTGTAAGGTGGAGATTGAAGAACAATGGAGATGAGTAAGAATGATTAAATGGTTTAATCATTTATTTATGGCAAGGATTAATTAATATGTTAATTAATCAAACGAATAAGTTCGTTAAAGACCTCGGGATAGTTTTGGACCTTAAGGCCCAATGGGCTTCGAACGTCAAGCCAATGATTCACAAACGCCCAATTAGTCCAAAATATCCTAATGGCCGGCCATATTGTTTAGGGTAGTGAACTTGGACTTATTTACAAGTTTGCCACTCAAATGAATAAAGGTATAAATATGACTTTATAGCCAAAATTCATTAAGGGTTTTGTTTTGGAGAAAAATGGTGAGAACTTGTCTCTCCATTTCTCTCTAAAGAGGCCGGCCACCTTGGGGGGTGCATCTTGCAATCCCACTACTCCAAGGTCACTCATTTCTTCTCCAATCTCTCCTTGGTGAAGAGACTTAGAGGTTCTCAATTTTGGGAACTTGGAGAAACCTATTCTTCCATCCAAATCCATAGATTTAAGATGCAAGGAATGAAGGTCCTCTCTTTGGGTGATTAGCCTTTGCTTATGCAAAGAGGAATCTACAAATGTATAAATTTCAACTCACTATGTTTTGAGTTGAGTTTTGGTTCACCAATCTACTAGGCTTTGAATTTCATGGTTAATGTTTCATTTTTAAGTGCATGCTAGCATGATTCCGCCTTTAATTGTTAATTGCATACTTATAGATGTTGCTTAAATGAACATGTTTTCACAAAATATTCCTTCATCATCCATAATCATCAAAGTTAGAACTTTCGAGTACTAAGACATGGTTTTCATGAAAAATGTCGGGTTTTCATGGGTGTATTTGTTTTATGAAAACTTCGGGTTTCAAAGGCACTAAATTTGAAACTACAAGTTCAATTTAGTTTATGAACGTTTAGTTCATAAAAAAGAGGTTATTGTAAGGACACAGAATGCAATATGCTGATTTAAGTGTAGTGGATTTGTGATTCTTTGGGAACTCAAGTGTGAGAGCTTCGTTACTACGAAAGTATGTTAATGGTTCAAAGAAAATAAATAAAATATTGAATCGCTAATGTCCAAAAGTGATCTTCATTTTGGATTAATTATCAGATTAATAGACTGCTGGTCACTTTTAATTAATTCAATAGATCAGGACTATTTGGGGTCTATCGTAGAAGCAAGATAATGATATTCGGGTCATATGATTGGCATTGGGCCAAGCAATAAAATACAGCCCACTTTGAGCTTAGTCGTGGGCACCGCATGGTTGGGTGCAGCTATAAGCAGAAACAGGCCAAATTTAGTTTTGGCAAGCCATACGGGGCAACCTATTCAACGTCTGCAAGCTACAAGCTTACAGTAGGAAGTTGGGCCGTGTGAGGCTGCTGTAGGCAGCCCAACAACTTGGCCCAGGTGTGAATTAAACCCAGCGAAGCTGCTTTCAAGGTTGGGCCAGGAACAAAAGCCCAGCATGCAAAGCAAGTCGAAGCCTTACAATTGGAACGCGGGCCAATTGAGCCCAGTCAGTGACTAGTTAATAGGTTGAAGGTGATGGACTAGCCCAACAAATAAATTGTTTGTCAGTGGCTTGGAGGGCTGCGGGCCCAATTGTGTGGAACCCAAGCATGCAAGTCTAGCAACAGTCAAAAACTCAGTCCGTGGCTTAGACGAAAAATTTCCCATAAATTTTAAATTCTTTTCCAAAATTTCTAGGGTTTTCAGAACCCAAAAAAAATCATGCTTCTATTTTATTGAGATTGTTTGACTCACAAATTCCACATAGCATAATTGCGTATTGCATAAACAAATAAATATATATATATATATAGACAAAATATATGAACACATATGCAATATATAATTGAAAGGTAAATATAAATGTAGGAGAGAGAAAGAGACACTGGGGGTATGGGCTCGGGAGTGGGCCTTAAATACAGCCGTCCAAGCAGAATCTCCGATTTAAGCCGCTTCAGTCAGAGACAGAGAGTTGTGAGCGAAAGAAAACTTAGGAGAGAGAGAGAGAAAGAGAAAGAGGAAGAGGAAGAGATGGGAGTGACCAAGGAGCAAGTGAAGTCTTCACTGACGTCAAAACTGAACCCTGCACATCTCGTAAGCTTCTTTCTGTTCTCGTTAGATTAGTTTTTAATTAGGCGAACTTCAATTAGCACTTCACCTTAGATTCTTTAATATTCTTTAGCGATGGATTGGACTTGTGTTGTGGTAATCTAGGGTTTTATGTAGGTCCATTATCTTATATTAATTGGATTTTAAACATGTTAAACAGTTTTACATTGGTTCGAATTGCTTTCGACATGTACTTGATCGGTTCAACATGTCTATATGCTGTGAGAAGAGAAAATTAAAAAGGGATTGTTGAGGAGTTTTGGTATCGGTTGCTCGAAACGCTTCTCATGGCTCATGGCTGTGCTAGGTAGAGTTGTCTATTGTGTTCCAATGGCTGAAGCTGCACAACCTTGTTTTACGGTTAGGATCGTTTAAGAGGTCAATCTGATCAAGGGTAGTGCTATTCATCTAAATGTATGCACAAACTTGATCCACGGTTGACACCCAAGAAGTCCTGTAATTGTTGTGCTAAACTACGTAGGCTTTGATAAGATGAATCTAGATTTGGTCAAGTAAGATGCAGTGTGGAGTGGCATATATTGGCTAAGATACTTTTACCTGTAATAGTTGCTTGTCTAATTTGCTCTTCCCTTTATTAATTTATAAACATAAGAGACCCTACAAGGTTACAAGTTTGGTGCATCAGCAATCCTACTTCAATCTACTTCAATTTTAAAGACATTTCAAGCATTTGATTGTATTTTCTTTATTTGAATTGCTGCTACGTAAGAAAACATGGAATTTTTTATAGAGTGGATTGATTAACTTAGGTCAACGGACACTCTTTGGCCTTGTAGTATAGTTTCAATTTTCTTTGCTGCAGCATAAACTCAGCAAAACTACTCTTATAGTTTTATATCTTCCTTGCCATGTCAAATTTCTCCAATTTCAGACATTCCATTTAGATGATGATACACAGACGAGCCACTGAACTAAGCAGAATCGAATTAGTGAATGCTACTGCCAGTGTGTTGCTTTTAAGTTCCTCCCACGCATGCTTTGCCCCTATTAATTTGCAACCCTTAGATTTTTCAGTACTTAACATCATTGTTTGACCAGACCATTATTTCTCTTTCCAACATTTTGGTCTTGACAATCAAATTAGTGAATGCTACTGCCAGTGTGGTGCTTTTGTAAACATATGATCCAAGGCTTTATTTACTGAAAGGGATTACTGTGAGCGGTTAAACTACTTTGGCATGCTCACTGGAATCGGGTCTGCAGAACAACCACTTGAATTAAGATTTTCAGTTTGCTAGTTGTAAAAGTTAAAAAGTGGAGTAAAAATAGAGAAATCTGTGCTTCATCCAGTTCTTTAGAACCGATTGCTGTTATTATTTTTTCATCTTTCATGGCTTATGCTTTTTATTGTAAAAGATTTTGTGGAAAAACTTGCATTGCAATCATTTTTTTTTTATTTTTTTAAATTTCTGTCCAAATGCTTTGTGACTCTTGCATTTCTTGTTTCTAATTTATTTTTGAACTTTTGTGTTTCAGGAAGTAATTGATACATCTGGAGGGTAAGTTACTTCGTGCAATTCCCATTTAATTTATGAAATTTCTGAGTGCTTATTTTCTCCCTCATCTTTTTATTTAATTTAATGTCCGCGGTTGTCAGATGTGGTGCTAGCTTTGCTATTGAGATAGTATCAGAGCAGTTTGAAGGAAAGAGGTTGCTGGAGAGGCATCGGCTGGTAAATTCATCGTTAGAAGAGGAGATGAAGGAGATTCATGCGCTCTCGATAAAGAAAGCTCTGACACCAGAGCAGTGGAAACAACAGCAGGAGTCTCAAGTATCTAAACCCGCCGCGTGAACAATATTTCAAAAGGTTTCAATTTTATATTGTAGCTGGTAAGAATATATTTCGAGTGTGCTGGAAAATTAGATGAAATTTTCTTATTTACCGTCCCAAATTCTATGCAGTGTGAGAATAAGTTGGTAATTATTCTACCAGTTTGTATGCTATTGTGGATGCTTTGTCATGTACTTTATCTTTTTTGGTTTGCTTTTTTTTCTTGTTAGTAGTGGACAAACTTGAGCTGGACATGGTCAAGCCCAGCTATATTTGGCCGGAACCGATTACTTGACCATGTCAGTAACCGATTCCGATGAATTGACAATGATCAATTCACCGACTACACGGTTCACAAAGATATGGTTCATGTTTGATGCAAGGTTATGATGCAACGAAGGCTTAAGATTTGCTGTTAATTCTATATGAAATGCTTGTTATTAGAGAACTTCAAGGCCCTTTGATAATTATTATATTTTGGGTGAACTGTTGATTTAGTCCATAAATTATCACTACAAGAGGATTTGCAATGTAAAGAGGACCTTCAACTCAACACACAAATCAATGCTCCATGAGAACCCGTCACCTTTGGAGAAAAATACTAACTACTTTACTAATTCTCAGTACAAATACAGTCTGGATAGACAAATTTGGGTTGACATCCGATGGACGACTATTGCCTGGTTAGACAAGGTTTCCAGGGGCAACCAGCAAAGGCAATAGTTTGGTTAGACAGTGACGGAGTTGTAGAATCAGTTTTCTTAGGAGCCTCGACTACTCGGTTAAATGGCGAGTTTCTTAAGTCTAACTCGTTAACTATCTTAAGTCTCGCTGGCAAAGAGTCTTTGATTTTCTTGCAAAATGAGGTCAATTTATTAGCCTTCTTGCGAAAGTAGGGTGTTTTTATTAGATGTTCCTAAGCCACATTTAGATTTCGGTATATCGACAATCGGACCACTTTTACAATAAAGACACTTATTTCTTTTAAATATATGTGTCCCTATAGTTTGATACTAATTGGGCGATCTACATACTTACCAATATAGTCGAGGTTGCAAAACTTGGTGCACAAGATCCAGAGGTTCGTGATGAGTTACATAACTTTGTCTTCAGGTTATAGAACCCAAAGTCGAGAGTGTTCCTTCCTCAATCGAAAACACTCGATTCAAGGGTCAGAATCGCATTTTACCACATCCATTACATTCAAGACATTTGTCCAACCAAGCTCGGTAGCGAATTGGCACACTTAATCAGCAATCAACCACTGAATGACGTAGTAAGCTCCTTATTTACTTCGGCCTGCACACCACATAGGTTGTGTAGTTTTTAGGGTTAACAGGCACACATGGCAAACATGTCTACTACTGTTAAACACTGAAGAAACTTGATGTTGGAACCAAATTTGGGCATATCCGTGGACGAAGGTGAAATCCAGTTAGAGTTGTCGATGATCTTCGATGATGGGAGAACGGGGTTGATTGGGGGAAGGGTGTGGTTGAATCCAAATAAGACTGCCTACATATCTCTAGGAAGGAGAATTAAACCACAAATGTAGTTCTAAGAAAGAATGGTTCCATCCTTGACAAATAGCTTAAGGCGGGACATTAAGAGATGAGTTCTCCATGGATGTGTCTATGTGTAGACGGCAACGTATGAGATATGAGTCTCTATTAGGCATGCGAGAATATGCGTATAGTAGTTATGTGGAGAAGATGAAGAGAATCAGAGTCTTGGATCATCAAAGACTTAGTGAGATAAATTCCTAGGTTAGGGTATTTATAAAGATCTTGAGAGTCCTTGTAAGGAAAATGATTCCAATTAAATCAGGAGACTATTTAGGAGAAAACCTAGGATAAGATACCCAATCATCCTAGAATCGTGATTACATTGCCTAATCTCCAAGATATCTTGATTTGACTTGAATTAGGATTTCCTTAGGAGACAAGTACTATCTTTAATAGGTTTTTGCCTAACCATGGTTGTCTGACTTTGCTTGGTATTCTAACTTCGTTTGATTTGCCTGAACATTAAGGCTAGTTTGGCTTGACTAAGGTAATCTGGAAATCCAGCAGACCGATCTGACTAAGATGCTTATAAGAGTAACCTGTTTCGATCCACGTCAAGTCTCTTAGCTTATTCACCTGATCGTCGAGTCCTATGGGCATTTCGGTCCTTCTTGGCACCCGAGGTGCCATGTGTCATGGTCCCACACTTGAGGTTTCACCATAAAACCAATTGCCAATATGAGAAGTAGCCCAATTGCTTTTAAGCACATGAAGTCCATCTTCCCGGATGTAGGATTCATAATCTCAACATGTCCCCTTACGTTGGGTTCACCCGAAAGATAACCTAGTATGATACCATGAAGCAAGTTGAGCTTCCATCATAAAACTAATTAGCAGTAAGAGAAGTAGCCCAATTACTAGGTCCATTCATTCTCTAATGTGGAATTTAACTCTCAACAAACACACCATATATGTCAGTACAGATTCATGCAAAGCTAACCAATACAACACATATCAATGCATGTATGCTGCTAAGCTCAATCAATGCGACACACATGCTAGGCGCATTTACTTATTTACAAGGCATGTATAGGGGTGAGTTCAGTACAGTTACCATACTAAAGCCCTCGTACCAATTACCGTACCAAACTTTCGGTTTGGCAAAATCTATTACCATTACCGTACCGAACTTTCAGTATACCAAAGTTCGGTATTGTCAAATAGTTCGGTTGGTATGGTATAGCAATGTTAATTGCCACTTTGTTTTGGGATAAAATCTGTTTTTGTTTTTTTTTAACCTAATTCAAGGGCAAAACTTTTTTTTTTTTGTACCTTTTATCTCATACATTGTAATCTAAATTCATCTATTATTCATCATTCACAATTCGCACACACAATAATTCAAATGATGCATCAAGATTCATGATAAAAATTAAGCTTACAATCCAAATAGAAGTTACGAACCAAAACAAATAGAAGTTAACAATCCAAATAGAAGTTAAAGTTTCAAACCAAATGAAAATTGGAACTAAACTTCAAAAAGTAAAATTCATTGATCAATTCTTCAAGTTTGAGATGTCGAAGCTTTTGGTGGAGGCATTGAACATGTAGAAGATTGAGCTTGTATCAAGCCTACATTACAAACAAAGAAAACATATTTGTAGTAAGAAGAATTTAAGTTGAAAACCATTTAATAACAAATTTACTAAAAAAATTAAAGCATATCTTACTTCTTTTCACTTCTTCCATTTCCTTGCAAAATTGAAGCATATCTTCCCTTGGTTTCTTGTAGAAGTTTACTTCATCCACCCTAAGTCAATCACTAGTACACACTAGTACCTCTATCATTTTAGGAGTCAAGGATGCCCTAAAAGGGTCCACAACCCTCATCCCTAAGCTAAATGCATTTTCACTATCAATGGTGGAAGAGGGGATTGCAAAGATATCCTTGGATATTTGTGAAAGAATTGGGAACTCTTTTGTGTTTTATTTCTACTAACTCAAGAGATCAAAGTCACCAACAACAATGCTAATATAAGTAGGGGTTTATTTTCAAATTATTGAAATATTATAAATGTGTTATATAATTTATAAATTATTTATTGTATTATATTTTCGATACGGTATGGTGATACTATGGTAATAGTATCAATTATCAATATCGTACCTTGAAATTTTGGTACGGTACAATACCGTACACCATTACCGATCGATACAAAAAATTTGACACAAAATCAGTATGGCACAATTGGTAATTCGGTTGGCACGACAATTTAGCAAAAAAATCCACCGTAGGCATTTGATGAAATCCACCTCCTTCAATTCACCAAATCCACCATCATTCTCGACCTGTCCTTTGCCCTCAGCGACTTCCCATTTTCTGTCTCTGACCTCCCCATGCTCTCCTACCACTACATTCAGAAGGGCCTTCTCTTCCCCACCATCCCCTTCACCCTCATCCCCCTCCTCAAATCCTCATTTTTCCATTTGTGTGGGTTTTGTCTCTACTCTTTGCAAGAACGTCATTGTACTATGACCCAACCAGTCATGAGCGACCGTATATCCAGCCTCGCCAACTTTTTGGGTTGGGCATCTTTCAGAGAGTCTGATTCGAGAACTTCATGTGCCACAGTAGCTTGCAAATTGAGCTCAGCAACTGGGCCAATTTCAGCACCAGCCAAAATGGAAGTAAGCCCTCCTAGGGATGGGCAAATACCCATTGGTTATGGGTAACCGCGGTTATCCACCCATTTAAATTTGACGGTTATGGTTATGGGTATAACTGTTTACCCGTGAAATTTAAATGGACTGTTATGGGTATTACCCACGGTTATAAACGGGTACCCAAAAAAGTTTCTAACTAGGTGATATGAGCATATTTATGCAACTTAGTGAGCTTGTTTCTTGGCATTTACTTAGTTTAATTCTAGTTATTTTAGTACTTTAAGCTATTTTCGTGTGTTTGTAGGTTTAAATAACAAAGTTGGCAACAAAGTGCTATTTGGAGCACTTTGGAGCATTTTTAGGCCAAGATTGGATAGTGCAAGCATGGAGACATGAGGATGGATGTTTTTGAAGATTAGAAGGCTAGAAATTAGCATGTGTGTGTGCAAGTGTGTTGACCTACAACTACAAACACTCATCCACTAAACCCATTACATCCACTCATTACCAAACATCCATCCACTACACCCATTACATCCACTCATTACCAAACACTCACCCACTAGCCCTATTACATCCACTCATTACCAAACATTCACCCACTACACCCATTACATCCCACTCATTACCAAACATTCACCCACTACACCCATTACATCCACTCATTACCAAACATCCATCCACCACACCCATTACATCCACTCATTACCACAACACTCATCACTACCACCTTAATTGGATGGTGGTCCTCTCCCTAGCCTATAAATACATCCACCCTTCACCATAACAAGAGAGAGGAAAACCAGAGGAGAACACAATCCACCCATCCACCCTTCACCATAACTCACCTATATCCATCCACCACCATAATTTACCACTCATCCATCAAACCACACCTTGTGCCGCAACAAAGAGAAGAAGGAGGACCCTTGGACGTGCTTGCCATTCAAATTGGATTGTTGGAGCGTTTTTAGGTGTTTTCATTCTTTTGTTTTCAATGTCTAAATTTGTTTATCTTTGCTTTGTGAGTATGAGGAACTAAACCCCCTTAGCTAGGGGG